TCTCCAACCAGCTGACCAAGAAGAAATACATTCTTTGCCCTTAAGTTCATGATGTTGTGACAGAAGGGAACCCCCTTATCTTTTGCCTTTGGTTTATGTTTTCTAGTTCTCAGTTTAAAAAGGAGACTGAGTACAAGTCACTGTTGGGTCAAGTCATTGTTGTCTAGTCATGTGTGCTTTCAAGTTGGCAGGGCCCCCCAGAATGTCTTCTGGGACTAATTTACTTACTTGCAGTAAAGGCACTGAGAGTCCGCATGAGAAAATGACCTGCCAAGGCCATTAGAAAATTCAAGAAAAGAAAGACTTGTTGAATACTTCCTTTTATGAACATATTATTCAATTTTATATCTATATTTTCTATTTTAAATTTGATAATCTTGTAAGGTACGTATAAATATTGTCATGTTATAGGTGATAAGAAAAAGATTTTGATGTTGCAAAGTATGCAAAATATATGTTGCTACACTTCAAGCCTCTCAAGTCATAGTTCTTTCTAATTTGTTCATTTACTCATTAAATTAAAATGAAGCTTCTATGGGACAGACTTTAAGGTGACTCTTGTGATTTCTGCCTTCTAATATTCATCTTTGTGTAGTGTCCTCCTTTGTGTGTAAGTATGATCTGTGACTTGCTTCCAACCAATGGAATATGATAAAAGTGATGAGATGTCATTCATATGATTAAGATACATTACCTATTCCAGGGATGCAAGGGTTGTTCAATATATTGCAAAACCATAAGTGCAGTACGTCATAATACAGAAGTAAAGATAAAATACCATATGATCATGTCAATTGATCAGAAAAAGCATTTGATAAAATACAGCATTAGATTAAAACACTCAGCAGAATCAGCATAGAAGGGACTTTCCTCAACACATTAAAAGCCATATATGAAAATACCTCAGCTAACATCATACTGAGTGGAAAAAAGCTGAAAGCTTTTCTGCTGAAAACTGGAACAAGACAAGGCTGCCTACTTTCTCCACTCCTTTTCAGTATAGTACTGGAATTCCTAGCCAACACAATCAGACAAGAAAATAAAATAAAAGGCATTCAGACAGGGAAAAAACACATAAAATTATCTCTATTTGCAGATGACATGATTATATACATAGAAAACCCAAAAGAATCTTAAAACAAACAAGCAAACAAACAAACAAACAAAACAAAAATCTCTTGGTAGTGATAACTAAATGTAGTAAAGTGTCAGGACACAAAATCAATATACGAAAATCTATAGACTTTCTATACACCAACAATGAACTGGGATGAAATTGAAGAAATCAATTCCATTTATAAAATAGCCACACACAAAAAATAATGCACCTAGGAATAAACCTAACCAAAGAAGTCAAAGATCTCTACAAGGAAAACTATGCAAAACCTTTTTTAAGATTGAAATGATACAAAAAAGTAGAAGAACATTCTCCTGGATTGGAAAAAAAAATTTGAGAGTTTTTTTTTTTCCTATAGGGTGTGTACACTCACCACTGAGTGTCCACTCTCTATGACTGAAACTGATTGACTAAAGGATATAGAAACACAGTAAATGTATGTAAATACCAGATATAGTGTGTGTGAAAGAGTAGGGTCTGAGGAAGGACATTTAGAAGAAAAATAGAGAGGCAAAGCATTAATGGGACAAAGAAATGTGGTATTACCTGTTGAAGATATTTTATAGTTTTATCAACTGGACTAGGGAGAAATGTTCACCTGTTGAACTATTCACTTTGTAAGCTAAATAATTTGATTGAATGTATAGAAGAAAATGAAATAAAAATGTAAGTAAAAAAATGCTCAACATCTCTTATCATAAAGGAAATGCACATTAAAACCACAGTGAGATACTACCTAGCCCCAGTCAGAATGGCTAAGACTAAAAAGTAAAGAATGATAGGTGCTGGTGAGGCTGTGGTGAAAGGCAACTCCCCTACACTGCTGGTGAAAATGTAAATTAGTACAGCCACTGTAGAGAACAATATGGAAGTTCCTCAAAGATCTACAGATAGAACTACTGTATAATCCAGCAATGTCACTCTTGAGTATTTACCCAAAAGATAGGGATACACTCAGTCAGAAAAGCACTTTCAAATCTATGTTTATTGCAGCATTGCTCATAATTGCTAAGACATGGAACCAACCCAGTCCATGAACAGTTAAGTGGACTGAAAAGGTGTGGCTCACATACACTATGGAATACCACTCAACCATAAGAGTCAATGAGAACCTGGCATTTGATAGAAAGCATATGAATACTGAAGATTTAATGCTGAATGAAGCAAGCCAGACTATGAAAGAGAAGCATTGTATGTCCCCACTCAATGTATACTGAATGTCTGCACTCTAAGGCAGAAACTGAAAGACTGGTAAGTATAAAAACATAGAGTTCAGCTGTTGATACTAGAGACAGTGTGGGATGAGGATAAGAAATGGGGGAAAATAAGATGGAAGGAATTAAGGAGAATAAAAAAGAAGCAGAACATTTAAGGAACACGAAAATGAAAAATTATTGTTGATAATAATGGGTATGGCAATATATTTTACTGACTAATATACAGTGTATTTATGCTGGGAAATTCATTTCATATGCTGTAATGATATACAGTGACTGAAAGTAAAAAATGCATAAATATCACTATTAAAAAAAATAAGGAAATTACAATAAGTTATGGACTTTAGTGTTAATATATCAAGATTTGTTCAATAATTGTGACAAACGTATCATACTTATTTAAGATGTTCATCATAGGGACTGTGTGTGCAGTGAGATTTCTTTGTATTATCTGCTGCATCACTCTGTAAATATAAAACTTTTGTTAAAAATAATTTAATAGTTTTAAGAATTTAAGTAATTTGCATTCATAATAAAATCATCAATGGAAAAAAGAAGATACTTTATCTAAGAATCTGTTCAAAGATGGACTAGAAACTTTCTCACTTACTGATTTTTTTAAAATCTTCCCTTTATTCATGATAGAGTACATGTACAAGAGAAAGAGAGAGGAGAGAGAATTCCCTAATAGAGTCTGGTCAGCCTGCCATCTTTTATCTTCTAATTCTCTATTCTGTTAGAATCCTGAAACAGCACACTCAAGCCCATTATAAAGCTGATGGGCCAGGATTCAAACCTCAGTCATCCACATGGGATCTGGCTTCCTCAGCACAATACTTAACCTCTGTGTTATGGGGCCAATATCCCTTACTGGCATGTAGTGAAAGAGACTACGGAGAAAGGAATAGCAGATGACCTCAAATGACTGAGAGTAGCCCCAAACTGACATCTAGCAAGACCCCAAGACCACAGTCCTGCATCCACTCAAGAGAAAATCTGCTAACAACTTGAGTGAACTTAGAAGCAGATTCTTCCACAGCTGAGCCTCCAGTTGAGAATAAGCCTCACCTACATATTCACTGAAGCCAGTAAGACCCTGAAGTAAAGGACTCAGTTAGGCTATACATTGACTTGACACACAGAAATTATGAGATTATAAATGGAATTTATTCTAAGCCATTAAATTTATGATAAACTGCTACTCAGTTTAGAAAACTAATACATCTACTATAACTCAAGTACTATGGCAGGTGTTGGAGATTCAAAAATTAATAGCAAATTTTCTTTACCCTCATATTGGGGGAGTGTTTAAAGGTAAACATATAGTTACAATGCAAGATAAAAAAATTCTCTAACATTTTGTGAAAAAGTTTGTGACAGTGAATAGGAAAAATAACATGAGAAAGTTTCTTTCTTGTCTTCTGCCCAATCTCCAATATTCTTTTCCTCTTACCTCAACCTTCTCTTGAACCCTTCATTCCCACTGATGTGTGAGGACTGATGACAACTCAAACTGACATGTTTATTCTTTAGTGAGATTTAGTAGAGAAAGGGTTCATTGACATTCATGAGTGTTTTCTCCTCTAAAATACAGTATAGTAAATTTTGAAGTCACCTCTTAAGTTGTATATGATCATGTGACTAAATTATGACCAATGATATGTAGTAAAGTGTACTACTCCCATGAGTTACTTCTAATGTGTACTACAAGGTGCTTCAAATAGAACAAAAAGTATCTGTTAGAAGATTCCATGACCTTAGGAATGGAAGAACCTTTGGTCCCTAAACTACTTTGTAGAAGCGTGCCCATCACACAGTCATCTCACCATGATGTAATCAAGAAATAAACATTAATATGATTAATCTACTAGGATTTGAATTGCTTTCTACAGCAACTATTCTGAACAGAAATCTAATTTTAAATGATATCGAAGATAATTAAAGAAATAGAATTCATGAATGGAGACTTTTTCATTGTTGGGTTTGCCTATCTTTGAGATCTCCAATATTCCAAAGTTAAGCTGCAATTCATTAAATTAATCTACTTCCTTGGGACTCTGAGAAAGGGGACAAAGGACTGAATGGACTCTGTAGGTATCCACAGCTCTTTGTGATCTTGAACTAGGTAAGAAACAAACCTAGAGTCCCAACCTTCCCATGAGTATGGGTTCTCCTTCCCTAGTAAATCTGTAGTCCAGACTTCCCAGTTCATTTCTAGCTGGTTTCTAGGACTGTACTTCAGGAGAAAAAGCTTTCCAGGGGTTATTATAAACTCTGGGAAAAGAGCCAGAATGTTTCATATTGTAATGGAAAATAATCCTTCCACCCTCAATCTGCACATTTTATTTAAGGTGTGAAAAATGCTTTCCCAGCTTCAGCCAGGAGCATTCAGGTCTCCATGGGGATCTGGGCTAAAAGGGTGGGGGACAATGATTAGGTGAGGGAGAGAACACTCCCTGCAGCAGTTTCCAGGGGAGCAGCAAGCATGCAGTCAAAGGAAAACAAGACTTGACCTCTAGTCTGGTTCCTATTACTTGTTTCTGCTTCACCCTGGTGCCCAGAAGCCCCAGCTCAAACTTGGCCTGGAAACAAGGGGATTTGACTAGAGGGGGAGCCCCTCTGTGGATTCGGAGTTCAGAAACCAGTTCTCCACTTCCAGAGGCTGATGTTAGCACCAGGCCAAGGGCAGGTGAGTAACAGAAGACCTAGTCTAGGTTAGCACCTGAAGGCAGAAGACTTCATGTAGTAATACTCAGATCTTTGAATATGAGAGCTGTAAAAGAAGCTAAGATCATGTTATTTTGAGAAATAACAAAATAGCTGACTGGTCGGTGTATGCAGTAGATGCAATGAAAATCTTTCATAATTCTGGCTCTTCATTCAATTACTTCATTATTATGTTTTCTTAGATATTTGTGATTAATATTGTATCATTATTAAATAACAATTTCTGGGCAAGTAGATAATTATTACAATAGTTGAAATTATAGGTGGAGTCCATCAGATACAGCTGAGCATTAATATGGTGATCTTTGCTATGAGTGCACACCCATGATCCTGGCTGGCTGGGAAAGCTGAGGGAGGATTGTGGCATGATGGCTAAATGTCTTGTCTTTATCTCTCCTATAAAAAATTTAACTAGATCATAGTTAATATTCTTCAATATTTAAATTAATCATTAGCAATGACCTAAGAAATGAATGATTTTTTAAAAATATGATTCCCTCTAGAAACATTAATCTACAACTTTTTTATTGAAGACTGAATTTTTCAGCTTAAAAATCTAAGATATCTTTCTTTCTTCTTCTTTTTTTTTTCCCCAGAGAGAGTTTTTGCTCTAGGGCATGTGTGCGCTGCTCGCCAGAGTGACAGAGAGAGACAGTGAGACCAAAAGTGAGAAATCACCCCCCCCCAGGGGGGGATAGCCACACTAAAATCCCCTCTCCTCTATTCTCCCCTCAGAATCTTGGGCATACATGCTCATTCACCCGGTGTGAGTTTGAAGCTGCCACGTCTGGGACTCAAACCACGATTGACTGTATTGGAGGTCAGTAATGTTACCCTTACGTCATCTGTTGTTCCAGAGAATCTAAGATTTCTAAAAACTAAGTCGAAGATCTAACTCTAGATTATGGACCAATAAATGCAATCTCCATTTTATTTACAAAACAATGTAGCTAAAAGAAATTATATTAGAAGTCCAAGGTCTACTTGAGAGTATCAGAGTTGAGACTTTAATTTAGTATAAACCATTATACTTCTTGACTTTGGGGGAGCCCATTAAAACTTCAGGCCTTCTTTGGGGCCAGCAGGTAGTGTGGTGGTTAAGGTGTTGGACTCCCACATAGTCAACCATGGTTTGAGTCTCAAACCTAGTGGCTTGAAATTCACGTGGGTGCACTTGTGGGCGTGCTCAAAATCCTGAGAGAAGAATGGAAGAGAAGGATTGCAGTTTGATCATCCTTCCTGGGGAGTGATTTCTCACTTTCATTCTATCTTTCTGGCTAGTGCAGGTGCCCTATAGAAAAAAATTTCTCTCTAAAGAAAAACAGCTCAGGGCTTCTTGTTCTTCAATGAATTAAAGTCCTACTTAGTTCTAGACTTGCCCCAACATTCACCCCATCAGAGGAGATTTTCTCATCTAGGCCTCTGTTGATTTTCCTTATTTCTAACATGAGGTAGGCACCTTTCAACAGTTTTTCCCATTTGGGCATTTTAATTAGATGCTGCCTAGCTGCTTCATGAATATATTAGCATGTTCTTTATCTGGAAGGGTTGGCACTTAATGTACCCATTCACAATTTACTGTGAGTCACAAACTTTGCACATTATTTTACAGGCATTTCATTTGATCCTTGCAACTAATTTATAAAAAAAATAGTACTAGCTCCATCTTACACAGTCAGGGAACAGAGACTCATAGAGTTCAAATTACTTGCTCAAAATCACACAGCAGGTGCAGACAGTAGGTGTCTTCTGCAGTGCTGGAAGCCATGTGGAAGGCTGGAATTTCAGATCCTGGGTTGACTTGACCACTCTAAGAGTGCATGTGTCTGTGGCCCTGGCTGACCAGAAGGCTGATGGGGCAGGGAATGTCACAGTATAAAACCTTGTTGAGGGTTTTTCTTGCTTTCTAAATAAAAAGTTTTAAAAGCAAAAGTAAAAGATTACACAACTATAAAGAATTCATGCTGGGATATAACAACTACATTCAGTGGCTCAAGTCATTTGTGTCCTTCCTAATTTCTTTCTTCCTATTAGTCCTGCATCTCATTGATCAACTAATTCTGCTAACTCCATTTCAAAATAGATCTGAAATCTGAGAATTTATTGCCATCTCCTCTGTTATCACCCAAATTCAACTCACTTACATCATTTTAGAATTATTCTCTACATAGACATGAGAACATTTTTAGATCACATCATGACAAATTACCACTTGATTTCCACTTCTCTTAAAATGTACACTTATTCTGTCAATCTACAATGCCTTCAAAACCCAACCCTTGTCTAAATGTTTTATATCATAATGGGAAATAATTCTTCCACTCTCAGTCTGCACTTTTTACTTAAGGTGTGTGTTATGGGCTGAATTGTGACCATCCTCTCCACCCCCAAAATGTATGTGTTGAAGCCATAACCCCTAGCTCTTTAACATGCGAGTCTATCTAGAAATGAGGACTGTAAAGAAGAAATTAAGATAAAATAAGTCACATGGGTATATTCAAAAGATGACCATCTGCAAGCCCACGGGAGAGACCTCAGAAGAAAATAAACCTGGTCACACCTTGATCTCAGATTGCTAGCCAGAACAGTGAGACAATAAACCTCAATTGTTTAAGCTATCCCCATCTGTGGTACTCTGCTATAGCAACCTTAGCAAATTAATACAGTGCAGAAAACACTTACCCAGCTTTAGTTGGGAGCATTCAGGTTTCAATGAAGACCTAATCTAAGGGAATGAGCACCAAGGATTAGATAGGGAAGAGAACTCTCCCTGAAGTACCCCTGTATCTTAATCTTTTTCCATACAAATGTCCAGTCTCTCTGATCTCGTTTTTTTTTTTCTTGAGCTGGTCCAATCATTTCTGCCTGTTCGTTCACTGAAATGTTCCTCTGGCTACAGAGCTTGGCATGGGTGTCCTCCTCTTTTAATTCAAGCACCAGTGAAACTTCCCATCTAACCTCTATAAATTAACCTCCCACCACTATTTTCCTTTGTAGCACTTTCACTCTCTGATGGGGTTGATGCATTTATTTGCTTAACTGTCTCCCATGAGAGTTTCATGATAGCAGTGCCTAATTCATGTGTAGGAGCTCACTGAATCTTTGATAGATGAATAAATAGGCAGGTTTTTTTAGAATAAGCTGTAAGTTTTAAGAAATTTAGAGTTTCAAGGACCAGCAGATGGCATAAGGGTTACATTACTGGACTCCCAGATAGTTGACTGCAGTTCAAGTCCTGAAACACGCCAGGCGTGTGTACATGCATGCTCAAAACCTAGAGAGGAGAATGGAAGAGAAGGGACTGTGGTGTGGCCATCCCCCCAGGGGGTGATTTCTTGCTCTCTGTCTCTCTCTTTTAAAAAGTCTTAAAAAAAAATTAAAATAAGAAGAAACTTAGAGTTTCCTAAATAAGTTTCTTATTTACAACTTATTTATTTTGTTACTCTCACTTCTCTACATAGAGACTAACCTAAAGTATATTATCAATAAATGTTACATAGATTAAATGGAGTCACTAAAAATGTGCATGAATGTTAAATGAATGAAAGGAAGATGATGCTATATATACGTATATATAGTGCTTATAAATTCTCTAACTTTAAGGCTTTGAAGTCAGTAAGAAATATGTATAGAAGAGAGAAATCTGTTCTTAATAAAGCAGAATATTGAATTTTCGCCCAGGGTGTCAGTAGATGTGGAGTGAGGAAGTGATCTGGAAGATCACGAAACCCAGAGAGGTCCTGTCTCAGTATTTTTCCAGTCACCAACATCATCTCAGAACATTCCTAGAACAACTTTTCAATCTCTCTTTAAAATTGAAAATTGATTAATTCCTTATTTCCAGCATAAAAAAGGAATCTGAACTCTAGAGAAGGCCATTGATATGTTTAAATGTCGTAAAGACAAGAACATATAGCTGACTTTCTGACTGAATCCATATCACCAAGCCATTTTAACTTTTGCGAAAACTATTTCTTTGCTATTGACTTCAATCCTCACTTATTTCAGCCTTCTATTATGTTTAAATACAATGTCAGATACTCATATTTGTGCTATGAAAAGTAGGTTTAATGGCTGTCGCATATTGCTAGTGACCTTTGATGCACAAACCTTTAAAATTTTAATGAAGTCTAATTTGTCTATTTCTTTTTCTTTTTTTTTACTTGTGTCTTTGGTGTTACAAAAATAATGTTAACAAATGTGTGATCGTGAATCTTCTGCCTAATGTTTCCTTCCAAGAGTTTTATAGTTTCAGGTCTTACATTTAGGTCATTGATTCATTTTGAGTCAATTTTTTTTTTGTGTATGATTATCTAGTTTTTTTCCAGTACCATTGGGTAAAGACTGTCTTTTTCCCTCATTGAATGGTCTTGGCACCCTTGTTGAAAATTATTAATATTTGACCCTATACATGAGAATTTATACCTGGAATTTCTATTATATTCCATTGGTCTATATCCCCATTTTTATGCCAGATTTTATAGTATTTATACCACACTATATTTACTACTATAGCAGTAGTAAGTTTTCAAATTAGAAAATATGTGTCCTCAAACTTTATTCTTTTATGAAAATGCTTTTGCTATTCAGGTCCTTTAATATTCCTTATATATTTTAGGATGAATTTGTCTACTTATTCAGAAGCAATGTTACTGGGATTGTAACAGGGATTGCAGCAGATTGTTTTCAGTAGTAGGGACATCGTAACAATATTAAGTTTCTTGGTGAATGTGGATTTTTTCATTTATTTATGTTAAATTTAATTTGCTTCAGATACATCTCAGAATTTATATTGTACAGGTCTTTCATCTTTTTGGTTAATTACTATGTATTTTATCTTTTTAAAGCTATTGTAAATGCAGTTGTTTTCTTAAGTTTCTTTTCAGATTATTCATCATTGGTATATAGAAATGCAATTGATGTTTGTCTATTGACTTTGTATTCTGTTATTTTGATAAATTCAATGTTTAGTTATAATGGTTTTTTGGGAGGAAATTTCAAGGGTTTTCTACATACAAGAATATATCATCTGTGAAAGAGAGAATTTTATGCCTTTCTCTCCAATCTGGATGCCTTTTATTTCCTTTTTCTTGCCTAATTGCTCTGGCTAGGACTTCTAGTATTCTATTAAACACAAGATATTAAAGGAGACATCTGTGCCTTTTTGCTCTTGGAGAAACAAAGCTTCAGTCATTTACCATTGAGTATGGTATTCAGAGTTGTAGCAGATTTGCCTTCTCTTTCACCTTGTTTTTTCCCCTTTTTTTTAGAGTTTTGTTGTTGTTGTTGTTGTTATCATTGTTGCTGTTTTTTGATAATAGGGCTTGTGTGCTTAACACGGAGACATAGAGAGAGAAAGTGAGAAATCACCCCGTAGTGGGGATGGTCGTGATGCAATACCTTCTTCTTTATTCTCCTTTTGGGGTTTTGGGCACACAAACACATATGCCCGGTGTGAGTTTTAAGTCAGCAGGTCTGGAACTCTAACTGCAGCCAGTCATATGGGAATCCAGCACCTTAACCACTATGCCACTTGCTGGCCCCTCTCACATTGTTCTTAAGAGCTTCTCCTTGTTTATAAAGGTTGTAAAGCTTTAACAAATTATGGTTTTTTTTAATATGTTTCTTGTCATATAATGTGTTCCTTTATTTATGAATTCATATATTTTATCACTTCTGGATATTCCTAGCTATTAAATACTTAAATAGAGTTTCTTTGCTCATATTTCCAATCTGTCTTTTAAACTCACAAGAGATTAGTTTTAGATTCCTTTAATGTCTTGTTTATATTTTCTACTTTCTAATCTAGTTATATCAAATTAATGTCAGGAATCTGTCATTATAATATATGTAAATTAAATATAACATCACATATAATATATATTATTATATATTGTATTATTTATAGGCAGTATATATTTGTTTCATTTTGAGATATACCTAATATTTTATTAGTCTTTTTATAGCTATTATTTTTTATGATTTCATCATTTGTTTATATTTTATTCAAAAGAAAGTTATTTTGTTTATATTTGAAAATTTAAAACCCTGTAAATTTGAGTTTCTAAATATATTGTATTTTATTTGTACTGATTGAGTTTATGATGATTTGTTTTCTGTGTGTTTAGTAATTGTAATATGATTACACATTTATTTAATCTTATTTAATGGCAACCCCAAGGGCCTTCATAGATCTTTTCTTCCTGAGAAGATTTATATTTAGAAGGACCTAAGGCCCTGTACTAGATAATTATGTTTCAGTCTGATTAGGCCATGGGATATCCTGATATCTTGCTAAGTATGATTTCTAAGTATGGTCTGTGAGGGTGTTTCTAGAAGAAGTTAGTGTTTCAATCAGTAAACTGAATAAAATAGACCACCCATCCCAATGTGGGTGGGTATTGTCTAATTCACTGAAGGCTTTAAAAGCACAAAAAGGCAGAGGAAAGAAGAATTTACTTTCTTTCTCTGCTTTACTACTTGAGCTGGGACTTCATTTTTCCCACTTGGACTGGGACATATGCCATTGACACTTCTGATTCTCATACCTCAGACTTGGACTAGAACCTACACCATCAGTTCTCCTGATTCTCAGACCTTCAGATTCAGACTGCAAGTCTGAGTCTTCTGGGTCTTCAGCATACATAAATGAGATCATCTAACTTCTTAAGGCATCCTCCTTTAACTTAAGGCTGCAAAATTTTCCACAGTGGGGCAAAAGGGAAATAGGGAATTGTACAAGGCTATTCAAACCTTCAGTTACTTTTATTTTTTATTTATTTTTATTTTTATTTTTGGAGAGGCTTTCGCTATAGGGCGCGTGCACTCGCCAGACAGACAGAGAGAGACAGAGAGACAGAAAGCAAGAAATCACTCCCCAGGGTATTGGCCACGCCGCAATCGCTTCTTCTCCATTCTCCTCTCGGGATCTTGGGCATGCACGCACATGCGCCCAGCGTGAGTTTTAAGCCACCGGGTCCGGGACGCGAACCGTGGTCAACTACGTGGGAGTCCAGCGACATAGCCATTACGCTAACTGCTGGTCCCACTTTTGGTTACTTTTAATTAGCTTTGTACAGTCACATGGCTCTAGCTAACTACAATAGAGTAGAGAAATTCATACTTCAGTTCCAGTTTCACAGGAAAGGACTCATTTTTCTTTTTAAAAAAATTTTATTGCCTTTTGTTATTGAGACATACGCTCGCCAGAGAGTTAAAAAAAAAAAGAAAAGAAAAAGAAAGTGAGAAATCACCCCAGAGGGGATGGTCACACTACAATTCCTTCTTCAGTCTCCTCTCAAAATTTTGGGCATGCAGGCACACAAACCTGGAGTGATTTTCAAGCTGTTGGGTTGGAGACAGACCACGCAGGCAGCCACGTGGGATGCAGTGCCTTAACCTCCACACTACCTGCTGACCTGTGGGACTGGGGTTTTCTACACTGGTCTCCAGAACCTCTGCAGACTTCTGACTCTAGTCTCCAAGCTGTGCCTGGTTACCACTACAAGAGCTGTCTAGTACAGAGGAAAACGTTGGTCTGGTGTTGGAATTAGAGTAGAGGTAGATATACTTGTAAAATTGAATTTGTCCAAAATAGCTTTTAAAGTCACTTACACCAGACATATAATTGATAAAGTTCATGAAATGGTAAACTACAAATGAAAATTAAATACCTTAAAAGTAATGTCTAATCTCACTAAAAATATAAGTAAAATGAATTTAGTAATGAGATACCCCTTTTGCCTATTAAGCTAATACATTTTCAAAAGGTATGACATTCCTAGTAAAAACAGAAAGGCAGGTTTATATATGAGATTATATGAATAGATGTCCAAGATATTACCTGAACCAAACAAAATACACACTAGTATTTTTTTTCATGAGGACCTATTTGTGGAAGTTTTAAGAAGAATCCTACATGCGCAGGTATATTTAACATTTTTTTTTTCCTGGAAGAGAATGGGGGACGGGGCATAGAATGGGGGAATGAACGTGTACATTTTCTAGTGTGCATTAATTTTGCTGTATACTATGTCATTCTTTCGTTACTAAAGAAATTTTTTGGAAAAAATGTTGAAGATATAAACAAACAACATTTGTAGCCATAGTTATGAAAGATTATAATTCCAAATATATATACAATTTTATACATATAGGCATGAAAATATTAAAAATATAATTTTACGTAAACTATTAATTTTTATTTTAAAATATATAGAAGAAACTGTAGAAGAAAATATATCTAATATTAATAGTAACTGACTGTGGAAGAAAATATATCTAATATTAATAGTAACTGTTGGGAACAGCAGATGGCATAATGGTTATTTCGCTGGACTCCCACATAGTCTATCACAGATTGAGTCCCAGACCTGGCAATTTAAAATTCATGCTGAGCACAAGTGCATGCATGTCCAAATTCCTGAGAGGAGAAAAGAGGAGAAAGGATTGCGGCATGGCCGCTGAGGGGTGATTTCTCACTTTCTGTCTCTGTCTCTGGTGAGTACACATGCTGTATAGCAACAACAACAACAAGAACTCTCTTAAAAAAATAGTAACTGTCCCTGGGCCTGTCTATATGCTTATTTATTTCTATGTGGGTTTTTCATTTATGTCTCACATTTTCAATGATGATTTTCTTTCTTTATAATGAGAAAAATATAACACTTAAAAAAGTCTAAGAAACTCCAAATTATGCATATTAAGTAAATATATACCAATTAAGATCCACATTTCACTATTATTTTCCATATGGTGCAGGGTAGTTTTGGCAAAGTTATCAATTACCACTCAGCATTTTTCTCACCATTAGTTAAATTATGGTTATAATTGTTTGTTTCTGCAGTAATTCAACAGGAATATTCTTACTACAAAACAAATGCAAGAATGTACTTCATAAGGATATTGGTAGAAATGCTTTTAGGGGAGGTGAATTATTTATTTTTTCCCCCACTAATTCAAAGGTATTATTATATATTACCATGAAATGTATAATGTCATATTTTATTAGAATAGAAAGGTGATAATATTGAAAGATAGATAGTATTTAACCTGAAGAAAATCTTTATTAGACATACTCTACCATAATGAAATCCAGCATTCTCAATGCTAGAAGTCTAAGATCAAATTCATATCATAAATTATCTCATTATTATTAATAAATGTCTGATTAGTTAACTAATTGAAGTTTTTAATATTCCACTAATATTAAGCACTATCTGGAGGCAGTCCCAGTAAAAAGGACTAATTGAATTTTTTTTTCAGTGGAAGAGAATTATTCCATGCATTTGGAAGTCTCATGGTCCAATACAGAAGGTGAGCAGACAAACTGAAAAATAAATGCAACCTAGTATGATGAAATGCAGATATATTCTAAATAAAGAGGCAATGAAGAAGAGGGTGGGAAAATTTTGAGGGGTGGAGAAGATCTACTAAAGAACTACTTCCAGGGGGCAGAAGTTACGGTAGGGTCAGGGTTGCTTAAATCTGTAATTGATATCAATGTTTGGGTGGTATTTGTTGGATAGTGATTCTAGAACTGGGCCACGTAAGAAAAATGTCGAAAACAACAGGGTTTTCCCATCTTTCTTAATTCCGCTAATACTTACAGCTAAGTGCTTATTTTGAAAGAGAGACAGAAACATGAGTCACCTGGAATAACATCTCTAGAATGAACATATCCAGTCATACTCCAGTCACTTTATAATTCATTATCAATTCTGATTTAGAAGGATAAAAGAAAAAAGTTCCAATTCTAAGATAGAAGACATTTAGCTGGTGTCAGCCACAAAAGACATCGGGAGGCATCTGTGCCTTTCTTTTCCGAAGCTGGAGGAAACTCACTAGCCCCATTACTCATCTCAGACAGCGAAAGCTTTCTGGCTAAGGCATTTGCTTTGGGACTTGGGAGAGAGAGATTTGGGACCCCTTTGGCTTCCTTCTCCTAAGTGACAAGTTATCTTCATGAACTTATTGCATTTCTTATCACTTGCAGAAAATTTTACAACAGCCAAAGAGAAAATGTCTTACACTCCACATTCATCAATAGCTTGCTTACATGGAAAATTGTATTTTATAAGAGATGACTCATCTGTTTATGTAAAGATATCTAAGTTTTTGTACTGTCCAATGTGGCAGTGAATGATAAATCCTTTGAACAAATGTGTTTTTGCATCTTTACACATGTAACACATAGAGTTGCAACTGAACTAATAATTTACATTTTCAGATGTTTCACTTTTCTGAGCTAATTGACTTCCTGGGCTGGGACTTTGCTGAAATCTGCTGAGCCAAATTCTCCCAGTGCCAAAGCTACTCCCTAGAAGAGTTAGATTCATTTGGAAGTTGCATTAAGATTTCTTCAGGCTTCCAGGCAATGACTGTTTCAAGAAGGGCTCAAAGTTGCATTAGAAAAGTCCATATATCTTGAAATAGACATTTTATTTTTTACTTAAAATGAAAGCTTGCATTAAGTTTTGAAATGATAAACTGGAAATGCTCCTTTAAAAAAGAGGTTTTAAAAAAAGCAGCTATTTATTCAAAACTCATTCTATCCATTGCTATGAAATTTAAATACCTTCTTTAAAAAGTAAGCAAATTCCCATACAGTACAAAGTTACTCACTCACTAAGTGTATGTTTCAAAATGACTTAATCATGAAATCAAGAAAAAGCTATTGCAAAATGGTGAAAATGTGCGTATTTTCAGATATTTTTGTGTCAGATTTCATTTTTCCATTTACCAGCTATATGAAGGGACTTCAAGTTAACTAAAAAATGGAATGAAAGTATGAGTTTCTTTAAATGCAAAAAATAATCAAATTCATGCATAGTTTCATTTTTTAAAAAAATAATATGCATCTCCCATAAACCCTTTGGGACCCCTTGTATGTCTGGGAGAAAATTTCTTTCTCTAGGCCTTGACTTTCATATCAAGAAAATAGGACTTAAATTTACTGACATAATATGTGTAAAAAACTTACTGGAGGGCTAGCAGATAGAGTAGTAGTTATGTCCCTGGACTCCCACCTGGTTGACCATGGTTCAAATTCCAGACCAGGTAACTTAAAATTCACACTGGGTGCTTGTGTGTGTGTGTGCCCAAGATTCCAGGAGGAGAATGGAGAAGAGGTTGCATGTGGCTATCCCCCGAGGGGTGATTTCTCACTTTGCCTCTTACTGTCTCTGTCTCTCCTGCCTCTCTCTCTCTGGTGACTGTAGGTTCCCTAAGGTGAAAACTCTAAAAAGCAAAAAAACAAAAAAAAAAACCAAAAAACAGCTTACTGGATAGCAAATATTTAATAAGTATTAGCTAATTTTTCTTACATTTATACTGACAAATGGAATAAATTATTATATTTTAAGCTAATTATAACTATCTTGGCTACCAGAAGCCCATTGGGAGATGAATTATGTTAGTGTTGGTTCTTTTAAAAACTGAAACTTTAAAAATAATAATTATTTCAAGTATAAATATTACTGAAAATAATTTACACATGTTTTCTCTGTTTTAAGCTGAATATACTCAGTATAATCTAACATTTTTCTGATCATTTACTCTTTGAGGTTTGGAAGGCCATGCTGTTATACTAAATAACCTTACACTGAAATTTAGTGTTGCATTTGCTTTATATTATCTTTTAATTCCTGTTAGGAGTAATGGGACCTGAGAGTGATTTTTTAAATTCCATTTCTGAGGCAAATAATCTTACATTGGGATGATAGGAAGGTAGAAAGAAAAACCTAGTTTTGATTATATGATGAAATTTAGAAATTTTTCAGTTGAATATATTTTTGGGAGAAGCAAATAATACAATGACAGAAGAACTGGAATTTGAACTTTAAGGTTTTATTTCCACCACTCCAATTTAAGAAGATACTATATTCCAATATTTCAATGTAAGGAAAGTATTAAGTTACCACTTATATTTCTCTAATAGAGATGAAATATTTTACATTAATATAAATGTTCAGAAATAATAGGCTAAGTCCTTGTCTCATCTAACCTTCTCAAGTTTTTATCTAAAAAATATATTTTCTCATGTTTTCTGTATAATGATTTCCTAAGATTACATAAATGAATGGACTTACAGTTTGAAGACAGAGCAAAACAACTTTTTGATTTTTTTTTTAAATATAAAATCCCTGTAGAGTACTTATGATAAGAATCTGGCCCACTAAAATTATTTCCAAAAGGCTATATTTTTTCTGTTTTCCCTGATGACTTAGAGTCATATTCACTGCTATAGAAATCAAGAAAACCTACATTTTTTTTCAGTGCCATAGAAATTAAAATTAGGGGATATTTAGAATATTTTATAGTGATTTACTCTATATGTAAAATTTTCCAACTTTAAGCTTAGCTAAAGGTAATTTAATTTCAAGATTTTAATGAAATACAAAGCCTCTTAGACATGGCTGGTTGGGATTATAGAACCGTTACAGAGAGCCTTAATCCCTGTAAACCACTGAGTTATTTCTCATATATAAAACTACCTTCCTCGGGACTTTTCCTTCTAACAGGGAAACAGATCAAGCTAAGTTAGTGCTGAAATATAAATAAGGCAAAAAATATTCTAACCATCCTGAGAAATAGAACTCAATTCACCCTTTCTCTTTAGGAGGATGAAATGTGTGTTTCAACTGAGTTCAAAGAAAATTCTGGTGTTGTCTAGAATAACTGATTTTGTGTTTTGCTTTGAGTCTTCAGTCTTTGCTACTGCCAACTATTGGGTCCCAAGCCCTCTTTAGATGCTATATATGTAAGAACAATAATGAGTGAGAGATTAATATCATCCATGGTCCAATTTTGTTAATTTATTTTTCTTCATGAAAGAAATCACATACAGATAAATGAGAGAGAGCAAGTACAGAGAGAGAGAGAGAAAGACAGAGCACACACCAAGGGACCCGGTCACACTGAAATAATTTTTTTTTCTAATTTTCCATTCTGTCAGTACCCTGGACACATGAATACAGGCCAGCATTCAGCCAGCAGGATGGAGATTTGAACCTTGCTCAGCTATGAGAGATCTGGCTTCCTCTGCAAAGTGCCTAATCACTGAGCCATTGGCCCAGCTCCTGTTACAGGTACTTTCTATATGTTGTTTTATTGAATCCTTAGGGAATGAAAGTATCTTGTCCCCATTCTACTGAAATTAACTAACATGTTCAAGATTACTCAGCTATTAAGCATGTTTAATGTTATACATTAATTTAATCTCTGAAGCTTATGACTTTTTCATTGTGTTCATATTAAGTTGTTCCCATTTTCCAAGAATCAGTCTATAGTGTGTAGCTTTAATTCCAGAGATCATAAACACATAAATAGTTCTGCAGACAAATGTTACTGAGAAAACAGGTAAGGTGGGTCTTTCGGAAATAGACATCATTTTTTAAAAATTGTGGTATCAACCAAGTTTGTGTTACATCACTATTCTCTGCTCTCTTCTCCAACGCATGCCCTCAATCTCTACACCAGCTCTCAAGCTCTCCTATCACATTACAGGCCTAGTAACTGATAATAACCAAGATTAAGATCTTGACTTGGAGATAGACATGTGCGACCAGAACCTGAACTAAATAAGAAATGGTTGAGATGTTAAGACTTTCCAACAACCACTGGGCAAGTCTCTTCTTTGGTAATACTTGTCTCATTCCATCTGTCTTTCTTTCTGCCCTATGCAATAAAATAAGGTTGATTTTTCTACTTGGAAAGTTGATCTTTGGTAAGGTGTTTAGGGCCAAGTATACCTCTTGGATCTGTTGTTGGCACGAATCACTTGGTAATGTTGTACAATCAGCTCTCAGAATGGTTGGTCCCAGTCTGTCTTGTTGCCATTGAAGTTCAAGGTTCAGTAGGTCAACTTAAAATATGAGTACTGTCTCTGTAACTTAGCAGGTATCTAGTCATATAGTTACTTAATTCCTTTGAACCTCATTTGTTGATTTATAAAATATGAATAACTATTCATTCATAAAAGGTTATTATGTGGGTGGAGGTTTATAAACTGTGTTTATGAAAAGTTTACAACTGTGCTTGGACCATTATAGAAACTTATGATAGAGACCAGCAAGTTCTACAATATTTCTTTTCTTCTCTGAGACATAAATTTGAATCACCTTTCCTAGACTTTCTCCCAGTTAAGTGTGGTCTAGGACAGAAAATGAAAAATGAATGTAAATAATGTATAGCATATCCAGGATTGGTATGTGAAAGCCTCTTGTGTGATTTTCCATTCTCTTCTTCCATCTGCTAGCTAGATGTAGACAATCCAGCAGAGGTTTCCAAGGGCCTGAGATTGGTATATCTACAAATAAGAAGACCTTAGTCCTGAATCACTTTATAAAAGGCTGTTTGCCAAATCCTCACATTGAAAATCACTTAAGTGAGGAAATAAGACTACTTCATTAAGCTGCTGAGGTTTTGAGCTTGCTTGTTAGAGAAATAATCAATGACACACTGAAAAATGTTTAACCATCAGCATTCAAGAAACAAGCTTTGATTTGTAGTTTGCCAATTTCCATGGTGTAAATATTCCCACTATGTCCAATTTCAAATGACCAATGTGACATTACTGAATGTAGAATTGTAAAATGGTTCGTACAGTCAGTTCTTATGGACCAATGAGAGCCAATTTCAAGACGTTGTACTTAAAGTAATCATTCTCTAATGTCATACTCAATAAATATAGTAATTTGTTATCATTATACAAAGTAAATATTAAAATAAATTCTACACTAGTAATAACTGATGGGATAATGTTTTTGTACTTACTGACCAAAAAAGAAAGACTTTATCTTATTATAACCTGAGTCCCTATTTTGTTTTTTTCCTGTGGTTTTATTTGCTTGTTTTTCCACATATATACTAACATTATAAAAGAAATCGGTGAAGGAATTCTAATTTTGTCCAATATATTCTGACTCTTCAGAGCACACAGAGTACAGTTTTATTTTGTATGTTTATCCTAAAAATATGCCAAAAATTACTGGAAAAGACAAATGAAAATAAAGACTCTAAATTATTAAGGTAGCAAGAATGATCACCTTACTTTTTTTTTTCTGAATTAACCTTTAGGATTTCTTTTTATACTTACCCCTTTTTTCTGGAACTAAAAATTGATTGAAGATAAACATCCATAAGCTTCATATATAAAGCCATTACATTTTTCCTGCTGGAAGATAGGCCCAAGTCAGAGAGTAGATCCTCTTTCAAATTTGTCTTTTTATTAGTTTAACATAGGAAATTGTTTTCTAAATCAATTTATTACTTCCTTCATAAAATACAGTTTTTATGATGCTCAAAGACCAGGATTGTTCAGTTAAAAAGAAAACCTTCAGGGCCAGCAGGTAGCACAGTGGTTAAGGTGCTGGACTCCCACATGGTCGACTGTGGTTCGAGTCCCTGACCTGGAGGCTTGAAACACACCAGGTGCATGTGTGTGCATGCCCAAATTTCCAGAAGGAAAATGAAGGAGAAGGGATTATGGCATCACCATCACCCTGGGGGATGATTTCTCATTTTCTCTCTTTCTGTCTCTCTGGTGAGAACACATGAACACATTCCCTATAGCAAAAATCTCCCTCTCTCTACAAAACACAAACAAACAAACAAAAAATCTTTCATCTATTGCACTTTTACATTGTAAGTGAGCCACCTTAGAGGATTTTTTTTTTTAGCTAAAAATGATCCTAGAGAGAAAACTGTTTAATTTTTGTTGAATAGTTGTTCAATGCAAACTACTTAGCATTTGGAAGGGTGTTATCTCCCCTGTATTTAAGAAAAAAAAATAAAGGTAAAAAGGTAGCACATTAAAGGGACCCACTCTTTCACCAGTATTGTATTAACTATGCAGGTTGTCAGTGAGTCCCCCAGAAGGATGTGTGCCTGTTAAGTGACCATCCAGCTTACTTAGAGTAAGCTGTTATGAAGATCTTCCCAGGGTTTAGATTTGGGCAGAGTGCAGCTATGTTCAGAAGAGGAGTCAATGACCTTTTATGGAGTGCCTGCAGAGTGCCAGGCACTGTGGTAGGCTCTGCCCTATGTGTTGCTTCATTCATTCCTCAGACTAGTTGGAATGATAGTATTACTGCTGTGATACAAGTGAAGAAAATAAGATAGAAAAAAAGTTCATCAACCAGTATCACAAAACTAAAAGTATGGAGTAAAAAATTCAAAGTAGTTTTGTTGTTGTTGTTGTTGTTAGAATCAAGACCTGTTCTCTATATCATATACTCTTCCTCCAAGGTTAAAACAAATTCAATTTTTTAAAAAATTATGTTATACATTTAATCATTATACATCAGTTAGATTATAAATTGAATTTATCCAACATGAATAAACTTCACACCAGTTCAGTTGAGGATACAAAACACATTATCATCAACAGGTAAAAATTCATTTCTGTGTCCCATAAATGTCTTACCTCTCCCCCTTCTCCTACCCATTTACTCCATTGTTTCCAGTATTCATAACCATTTTCACTGCTTCTATGTCCTCTAATGTTTCAATTTCCACCATAGAGTGTGGACAGTCAGTCTATGTTAAGTAGAGACATACAATGCCTCTTTCATAGCCTTGCTTGCTTTTCTCACCAGTAAATCTTCCATATTTGTCCACTTTCTATCAAATGGCAGGGTCTTGTTGCTTTTTTTTAGAGAGTTATTTTTTATTTTTTTGATATAGGGTGTGTGCGCTCGCCAGACAGACAGAGAGAGACAGAGAGACAGAAAGCAAGAAATCACTCCCCTGGGGGGATGGCCACGCATCAATCCCTTCTCCTCCATTCTCCTCTCGGGATCTTGGACACAACACACATGCACCTGGCGTGAGTTTTAAGCCACCGTGTCCAGGACGTGAACCGTGATCGACTACGTGGGAGTCCAGCGACATAGTTATTATGCTAACCGCTGGTCCCTCTTGTTGCTTTTAAAGGCCAAGTACTATTCCATAGAGTACATGTGCTACACCTTTTCAATCTGTTCCTGCACATTTGGGTTGGTTCCCTGTCTTAGCAATTGTGTATAATGCTGCAATAAAAGTAGATGTGCAAACACTTTTCCAACTGAGCATTTTCCTATCCTTTGGGTAGATACCCAGGAGTGGAATTGCTGGATCATATGGTAGTTCAATCTGTAGATCTTTGAGGAACCTCCATATTGTTCTCCACAGTAGCTAGACTGGAGGAGTCCAACCCAGGGAGGCCCCAGGATCTGTCTGAGCAAGCAAGGCTGCTTGCTATTTGCTCCAGAAAATTGAGGCAGCCTCACTGGGAAGCGACC